TTGTAATCGGGGGGTGACAACTAGATGTTTTCTAGAGAGCATGTGCTCGTAAACAAATTTCACCCAGAATTGAGAATCATTCCAAGGGAGAATTCTTAAGCCTCCAAAGAATTTGACGGAATCTTACGAAAATTCCAGGATAATTGTCTATTATATAAGTAAGGACATTAGGAAACGTTTTGAAGATTCGCATGGTATTTTTATGAAATTCAAACGATTTTCAAGAACATTTAAAAGGGAGGCTTATTAGAATATTAGGAAAAATTCTGAAGCTCATTACATTATTAAGAAACTCGTGGGAGTATTTTATTATGTTACATATTAAAGATAATTCGGTGGAATTTTCCAATTTCCATTTAACGGTTAACTCGGTTTTCCACCTGCACGTAAAAAAATTAAGCGATACCCTAAATTATCCCAACACCCCGTCAAAATTGAAGCAACATTCTCAATGAAACCTATACGTACATGAGAAAACTACTTATGCGCAAATAAAAACTACCCCTAAGTACGGCCACTTCCTCCACTGTTAACATATTTTACGCGCAATATTTTATAAGGCCTTGCAAATTCAAATTTATAAAAGCAAACAGCTTAATATGAAAAATAAAGGATAGCTACATGTACCCACATTTGCGAATCAAACACATGCCACCCAAAGCCATCTACGTGCTGCAGCCTCAGCTAAAAAACTTCGCTACCTTCCTTTTCTCGCTTGAGGAAAGCAAAGCATGCGCACCCACTTACGAACCTTGGTCCTAGGGCAATTTGAATTGTTAAGATTCGCGGTAAAACAATTCCAGTGGCGTATCAGACGCGTCTTTTGCCTTTAATGAAGTGGGCAGAGAAACTGACAGATACATGTAACATCACATCAATAAATTTTTCACAGAAAACAAAAATAACTGCAAAGGAATTTCGAGAAGGTTGTAAGTGAGTTTCAAGCATTGCAGGTTTTTTTGGTAAACTCCCAGACAATACCAAGACAGCTTTACCAAAAGCATTTTCATGGAATTTCGGCAGTCTCGAAATATTTTTCGGAGAACTTCAATTGTAATTAGCATCAAGAAAATTGCGGACGCATTGTAAAATAATTCAAAAGAATAAATTGATATATGATGTCCACGTTTCAGCAGGGAGTTGATATGACGAAATAACAAATGAGTCTTAATTCGAAGAATTTGTGTAAAAGTAAATAAGCTGTACAAGTGGAAATAAAAAAATAAGAAAAAAAGATCTAGGCTAAATTCCAGGACAACTTTAGGAGAACTTCAGTTTTTTTCAGAGAAAGTAAATACAATTTCAATAGAGTTTTTAGGGCGTTCCAGGATAGGTTGGTTCTTATATGTGTAGTAAGCCCTCTAAACATGCAGTATAGTAATTACTACCAATTAAAATATTTTTAATTAATCGCATTTGGTGCAAAACACAAATTCTTTTTTAAGTAAATTGATAAAGCTATTTCCGAATTTGGTTCGCACAATCGCCCAAAGACTTTAAACATATTCCGCCGTCCAGAATACTAACACTGATTTAATTTCTTCAAATTGCACTTCTTTAAAATGATTTCAAGAAAATATTAAGAGAACTTCAAAGGAATTTCAAGAGAGTTCTAGGTGTTGACACTTATGAGGAAAATTCTAAAGGAACTTTATAGAGAATCTTAGGGTGCTTTTAAAAAGGTTTCTACAAAAATTTCTAGATAGACTCAAAAGAAACTTGCAGAGAAAACCCAAAAAAAATTCAAGGAAGTCTAGAGGAATATTTTTCGTTATTTTCAGGAAAGCCTGGAGAGTTGCGCATTTCATGTGTTTGTTTTGAGTACTGTCATCTGAAACGTGTTTGTTTGGTATACTGTATACTGTTTCATTGGGTGTTTATTCACGAGGATGTGTATGCTTCGATTTACCTATTCCTATTCAATAATATCAGATAGACATATTGTACGGGGTGTAAATCGAAAAGTGGAACATGTTTTTCTTTTATCATAGTCCATGGCCACTTAGACTAAAGACTCGTGAAAACAGAATCTTTATAATTTATTTTTTCGCGTACAAGAAGAGGTAGAATAATCGTTTCACATGATTTGGATGCAGAATTTATATCTCTATAACTTTTATTTGAAGCATTTTTGCGTAAAATAATTAGAAAACGTTTGCGCAAAGAAAAAGTAATTTGCCATGTTAAATGCCTATGTTCCACTTTTCGATTTACACCCTGTACGTGTACATACCGTTATGTAATAATAATTTACGAGTATATTATTGATTTTCATTTGTAAAGCAAACTCAGGCTACTTTAATAAAAAAATATTAAATAAATACCTGTTTTCCTGCATTTGACAAACTGAAATCTAATGGAACTGGGCAGAGTCAATCAATAAATTAAGAGTTGTAAGTATATCTCATAAATATTTAAACAGTAAAATCAGCATTGAAAGCGTATGTTTTTATCTGTGGTACAGTAAATATCGCACGCCACTGGATCTACACAACTTCCTTTAATGCATTGACAGTGGAACATTCAACTTATGTGCTCATAGCACTTCGCTCATTAATTGGGAGTCTAGAGGGTGGTTCCAACGGCGCGCATTTTAAATGAAAAGCTGAGGACAATGTTTTTAGGAGATTTTCTTGTGAATTTAGTAACAATTTGGAGTTTATATTGATATATTTGGGCAGAATTTCAGGAAAAATACGGAGAAGCTAAAAATCTCATGAGCTTTGAAAAGGCTCAACGTGATATTAAATAACTATGTTAGATATTAACAATTCAAGGGAAATATCAGGAAAATTGCATTTTTCTTTAAGAAAATTTCAATAAAGTTTCAAGAGATCTTCGGAAGAATTGATGAATTTCAAAAAAATTGTAAGAGAGTGTCAAGAGGATCCCTCATTGTCATTTGTACATCTACCTCTTTGTACCATTAAAATTGATAAGTTACGTTTTTGTAGAAAGGCTAAAATCTCCCACGAAAGCAATAGACTGCCTATGGAAATTCTGATAATAGCTTAATTCCTTTTACTTTATTTATTACTACCTGTCCTTGTTACATGTTTATTTAATATTAATCGATTCTAATTACAACATACGAAAACCAAATCGTATTTAACACTGAAAATTGAGAAGCAAAAATGTTTATAATCAGATTAGTAGGTCGAACGAACACGACAATTCTACTTTATGGGAAACCTTGTTCAATTTCGCATAAAGTTTCCGTTTTTCACCTACTACAAGGCAGCAACTGAACGTTAGAATTCAACACCCCAAACAATGCAATTAGAGAGAAAACTTAATTCCGCCCTAATACTTTATAGGTATCTGTTGTTAATACGACTCCTTTGGGGGCCGATGTTCTGTACGATGACATGTACTGTGTGCTTCTGCTCTTGCGCTTTATTTATACGGGTGCTGGCCTCATAAGAAAGGGAACGCAGAATCTCAAAATACATAAATTGTAAGCATAAATATTTAAATTATACGGATTTTCCTCCTAGTAGAAATATATTATTTACCCCCAAGTTTCCACTGAAAAACTGAGCTCACTGAACATCCCTTAATACCTTTAAACCGCTCACACAATGCAGTGATTTTCCTCATTGAGCCGTTATTACAATATTTCCTCGGTCCCGTACGATTCTCTCCATGTTAATAATGCGAGTGTAAAAAATCGAAAATCTGTCGTATAAATTCATTGAATTAAAAGAGGAACGTTCCACCCACTCAATTTTATTTCCATTACACCTTACGCAATAAGGACCTGGGTCTCAAAAGATTATAAGGCTTCTCCGGCTGTTGAATACAGTACGATAATATCCGTTCGTTATGTTCGATTTCCTCGCACAGGCAAAATGTTTCTTATAAAGAATTTTATAGAGAATTTCAATTCCAAGCGTTTACCTCAAAAAATTAGGTTGCGAGAAAAGGCGAGGACAAAATGAAATTTTCCTTTTTATCAAGGAATGAAATAATTTCCTTCGCGCAGCGTGGTGTATGTTTAGTTTATTTAGTTTAGAATAATGGAGAAAATAAATTGTTGCCACCGTTTCTCACGCCCTTTCAGCAGGTGGGGATTATCAAGCGTTGCCAATTTCTAATGGAGTAGCGAGCAAATTTAATTGCAAGAGAACTCGTTCGGGCACATTAATTTTTCATGTCGCAATTTTCAATTTGCTCGCTTTTTTATTGTCTTATTACACTCTTCGCCACACAAATCGATTAGCGCGCTCGAAAAGAAATTCACACCACAAATCAAATTTGGCGAAGTTCACACTTCGATTAAATTAAGCGGTTGCATTCCGACATCGCGCATAGTTTAGAATAATAATTTGCTTGAATAAAACCGGCCTCTCATTAAATTTTTTATTTCCAATAATTTTCGAGAATTTCACTTTTGCGAGAAGATGTTGAATTAATTAACTGCGCTTGTATTCATTTTAGATCCTAAATCGAAACGGTTTCTCTTTTAGGATAACTTTCATCTTCGAGGATCACGAATACTTAATTATCGTGTAATTGTGCTGAAAGGTTGAAACTGAGGCAAAAAATCCCCGCAAAAGCGGTTGATTGGTCGATTTTCCTGGAGACATCAATGCTGGAATGGCATGCAAAACCGAAAGTGGCTCGTGATAAAATGTTTAAATTCACAGCGGGCGATTTTGCAAGTGTTTCCTCAACCTGTAATTTTGTAATGGGGAAAAATGAATAGCAGAATGTACGCTTGACATTTCAAACACGAATGCCTTGTAAATGTCAGTACATACTTCGCTCAGGGCCACAAACCGTAAAGCATTCGCTAACATAAATACAAATTAAAAACACATTAGGATCATGCCGTTACCCCTATTCGGAGGAACAACGTCTAATTTAAAAGTTACCCATCACAGGCTTCTTGACATTTACTAATTATATAACTTTAAAGTTTAAAGTTACCGACACCCCTAACTTTTCAAACAATACAGATAGGAAAAATCTCCAAGTAATTTTTAAAAAAAACGTACCGTCACAAAAATACTATTTTCCAGAAGTTCACTGAAAACAATCGCGCATTCGTAAAGTTCCGGGACGGATGCAGTGAAAAACTCCGAGATACTAGGCAAGGAACTCGCGTCGCGACTGATCTGCCGCGATCTGAGTCAGCAGCGCGAACTTTCTAATCACACCCGCTCGAATCCCGCGCAATGCAGGGCTTTTCATGTGCGCTACAAAACACACACATACACCTTGTAGTATATGTAGACATGTCCACATTTAGTTAATTAAATCAACTGCGTTAATCTCGACGCTATCGGAATTTTTATCAACTAACAGTTTAAGAGCGTAAACAAATTAGCTATGGGCGTGACGTTGTTGTTGTTGATTCTCTTCTTGGGAGAATTATGTTTTCGTTCTATGCCCATTAATTTTGTTTGTATTGTATTACCAATTTAAGTTTTATCGATGTCGGGCGGAAGCGTTTCGGTGGAGTTAAGGGGATGTAAAATAGAGGGGTCGCAATTTGCTACACACAAACATTTTTACCACCGAGTCCTTGTAAAAAAAATGCACCGACTAAGTTTGGGTTTTCAATCTTTGGTTCTAATTTGAATGATTGATATGTTCACTAATTTTTAGGCATGCCTGCATAAATTATTATATTAATACATTTCGTCAGAATGACGTTTTTTTTACATTTTAAACACACTATTACCAGTATGAAACGTACCTACCGCATTCGGCGAAAGACATGAAGTTGTACCGAAAAATTACAAAAATTAAGTCAATTTTCACGTTGAAGTGACCCTTTTAATATTAATTTAGGACAAATCTTTAAATTTAACCGAATGTTGAAAATTTTGAATTTATTTTTTTCGAATTTGACCGAAATTTGTAAACTTGGGATTTGTGGAGTAAAGGTTAGAAAAGTTTAGGGATTACATATATAATAGAAGGGTCTACAGGGAGAAAAAATTACAGGGTCGAATTTTCCAATAAGTTATATTTGATGGAATTGTAAAAGTTCATACGTAGTTGGTGGAATTAGTGATCGTTTTTTGTTATACGTCAGTTAGTTCCGGAAATCGATGTAGCCTGAAATTTGGCTTAGATTCGGCTCTGAATTAGGGCTACGTGATTAAAATTGTTAATTAAGCATTAGGTTATCTCCATACCGTGAGATTTGCAGAAAAGCGAGTGATAGTATACATTTCTGGGACTACCGTTAAACTATATTTGCTCTTAGCAAAGAATGGTTTACTTGGCTGCTACACACCATCTTGAAAAAGGCGTTATTCCGGAAGACTTTAGGGGAATTCGCGTTTGAGCCATCGATGCGACTAACGCGTGATCCATAGAAGGATTTTGCATTCATTCGGGTCAGGGTTGCCGGAGCTTTAATTTTTCGAAATGTTGTCGCTCTGAGAAGAGTCGACGAATTTGTTTCATGTTCAGGCTGTCTTTTTCTTCAAGATATCAAACTTTGGTCAAATTTTAATCCGACCTCGTTATTTCGAGATATTCGGAGTGGGGGAACCTCCTGGTCAAACCACCCAACCAGCTGATTTTCCAGCTGCATTTTTCTTAAAAGAAAATCTGATTTGATCTTTAACATGTAATAACATCAGCTGCAGTTCATTTTCTTTTGAAATTTAATGTAAAAAAAGAATTGGTAGCAAATTTAACGTAAAGCTTTGCTTAATAACCAAAAGGCTTCAATAAATGTTCAATGACTGACATAAAATTATAATGTGTCAACTGAAGAGCGTATCGAATTAAGTGCTAATTTAAGATTCGTTTTTGTTCAAGAATCTAATTTTTTTATTCCGTAATTTCAATATTTCAATCAGACAAATTCAAGGGTCCTTTGATTGCCTTGTAAAATGAGTATCGATATCTATGTATCATGTTGAATTTGAGGATTTAGATTATTTATCACTAAAAAAAATGAAGTGGCAATTTCAATTGAGATTACGTTAAAAGGTCCTAACAAAAGTCTAAGTATTGAAGAAATTTATTGTACTAAGGAAAGGTGGTTGTGGAGACCATGTGAAAATTAAATTACTTTCAATATAGATTTATTATGTTCTTTTTGCTGACCAGGTAGAAATTTTGTAGTAAATTTCAGAAAAGAAAAGGGAAAAGTCTGCTACTAGGGGGAAACAACTTTGAATTTTTGGTGCACACCCCTCTGAATTAATTTGAATTAACTTGAATTAATTTGAATTAGCGTGAAGACTATTCGCTATAGAAAAATTCTCACCCTGAAAGTGTAGCCTCGAAAAACTATTGTGTTTGATCTTCAAAGACCTGTTTCCGGAAAATTTCGTCTGGAAAAATTCCCTATGGAGAAATTCGCTTCCGGAAAATGTAGGCTTGAAAAAGTCGCCTTGGGGATATGCGCACCGGACAATTCTTCCCTGGAATAAATTGTATAACAAATTTTTGGCCTGGAAATTTAGCCCCCAGAAAACTTAGTCTCGAAAAAATTTCCGTTGGAATATTTGACCCACAAACACTCGTCCTGACAAAATTTGCCCTGGAAAATTCGTTTCTCGAAAATCGCCGATTGCTGTGCAAAATCGCCCTCAGAAATCTCTTGAAAATTCGCTAGGAAAAATCGCTCTCATAGCGTTCTCATAAAAAAAGGCTCGTAAAAATCTACCTTCGCTAAAATACTTGCATGAATAATTTCAGAAATTTTGATGCGCTCTAAAAATCGCCCCTGGAATATTTGACCCCTAAAGAGTCCTCCTCGAAAAAATATACGAGACAAATTCGCTATGAAAAAATGGCCTTTTTAAAATGCTTCCGTGCAAGATTCAACACGTAAATTCATACAGGGAATATTCGCCTCTAAAAATTTTCCTCCCGTAATATTTGCGTGAAAATTTCACCCCCAACAATTTTCGGGGGGGTTCTTCCTGGAAAACTTCTTTTCTAAAAAATTGGCCTACCGAATAAAGTCGTCCTTGGAATATTTGACTCCCAAAAACTACAAGGAAAATTGTTCTGGAAAAATTCTCTTCCGAAAAATTTACCTACGGAAAATGTAGGCTCCCAAAATTACCCTTGAAACGTTCGTCCAGAAAAGGAAATTCATACAGAAAATATTGAAAAAAATCATCTTTCGAATATTTGGTCCCCAAATAATCGTCAACGAAAAATTTGCGTTGGAATGCCCTAGAATACTCGCTTAAAAACGCGCCCCGGAAACTTGCGTGGAAAACTTGTCTCCAGAAACGTAAAAAAATCGCCCTTGAAATATTTGATCCGCAAAAATTGTCCCCTCAAAATTCGTCTTGCGAATATTTGTCGTGGAAAAATTCATTTCCAGAAAATTCGTCTCCGAAAAATTCGCCCTGGGGAAATTCCCTATGGAAAAATTCCCGTCTTGAAAATTTAAGATTGATACAATTGCTCTTGGAAAATTTTTCCCTGGTATACTTGTGTAAAAAATTTGTCCCCAGAAAAAATCCGCCGTTCAAATAATTTTACTCGCAAACTCTAGTCCTGTAAAAATTTGCCTTGGAAAAATTCTAGATGGAAACAACTTTGAATGTTTGGTGTACACCCCTCTGTGTTAATTTGAACTAACGTGAATTAATTAGAATTAACGTGAACTAATTAGAATTAACGAGAATTAATGTCAATTAACGCGATTCAAATTTGAATTAACGTAAATTAATTTGAATTAACGTGAATAAATTTGAATTTACGTGAATTAACTTGAATAAACGTGCATTAACATGAATTTACGTGAATTATTTTGAATTTGAATTTTTGGTGTACACCAAAAATGGTACTTGTTTTCCCCTAGGTCTGCTATAAGCAAATGGGTCACGTTCGGCAATTTTTGTGGAGTGAATTGCGCCAAGAACACTCACATAATATTGGATTTGTGTGTGTTTGTATTAATTCTTACCATACCAAAACATCAAATTCACTAGTGCCTTGTTACTGTTAAACCATTGCCGATTGAAAATGGCGCAATAGACCTACACATTTTCGATGTGTAAAAAAAGTTATCCACGTTAAAAGTATTCCGGAAAAGCACTATTTTGGCTGTTGGCACCTGTCCCGTCTTCCCGGAAGTTGGGTTAGATTTAGTTATCTTAATTAGGTCGTGATTAAAATTGCGAATTAAGCATCAGGCCACCTTTGGATGGTGTGAAATATTTGTGTGCGTGGAATTGATTTATTACCCTAGCTTTGATTTAATTCGCTCGGTAGAAATGAAAAATACGAATCAGTGAGTAGAGATGTAGATTGTAGTTAATCAGGCGCCATTTTGTAGGCCTCCATTAATTAAGTAAGAATAGGAAGGGGTGTTTGTGAGGTTTTTTGAATCCATTCGTTTCTAGGCTGCGAAATCATTAACCTTAAAGTTCAGAGTAAAATTTTGTCGGGTCAGCACCACTGAGTATCCACGGTGCAGCTCAGGTATCTTGAATTTGTATTGCACTTTAGCGTGACGGAAGAGTTACTTTGAGGAGCATTAAAGTGACAAAGTTTAGGTGAAGAATTCAGTCTTTTGGTTGAAGAAGCCGTTCCAAACCAATTAGATAAAATAATACATATAACAGAGTTCAGTAAGTGTGTCATTTATTACGCCACAATAAATAATTATTGAGCAATCGGACGAAATAGAGACAATCTTCAAATACGCGCGTCTTAGTAAAAGAAATTTAAAAAAAGTTTGTGATTCAACCAACTACAAATTAATTAATCGCGCCATAATATTTCTTTTCCGTTACAATGAATTAGTAGAAAAAATTACGGATTCAGTTATTTAACGTCTTTAGTGAACCAATGGGGATTGAACTTTGTTTGTGGAATTCGTAACGATAAAAGGGTTATAGCGCTTAGCAGTTGACTATACATTACTAAAAGCCAGGCTAAAAGCTTAACGTGTAAAATTTGCAACCCAGTGAGAAAAACCTTTGGTGTGAATAAACTTAAAAAGGCGTTAATACTAAACTTTCATATTACAATGAATCTGCTAACGTTACATAATTGTCGTTATAAGGATATTTATTAGAAATTCGAACGAAGAATGATGCAAAGTGGATCAAACTTTGGGACACTTTAGGTCCGTGATCTGCACCATTTTATACCTAAAAGAGCTTTCCGTTAAATCAATCGTTTAAATGAATTCGCTGTTTTTCATTGTAAATGCAAATAGTATTTATTGGGTATTTAGTTTTCTAATTTTCCGAATAATTTAACGAAAACCAATCCCACTGGTTGGTGTAGA